GTTTATTAAATCTCTCAATATACACATTTATAAACAAAGTCGGAATAAGTAACATTCCTGCTAACATCAGGAGTGGCCTCTTTTTGACGCTTGAGCCGCTTGTTTTATCAATCTTCTTAAGGACGGTTCGTGCTTCTAAAAATTGAATAGAACGGTAAGAAGCATTAAGCTGACAAATAGAACGAGAAATACACACAGTAAGTGAAGCATGCAGTTTATGCGCTTCGATTCGTTCCTGTTGATCACCACCGCTTGCAGCAGTGGTGCGTGTTTTTTCCAAAAGGATCATGAAGCGCGGATGGAGTCGAATTCGCTGAAAGATTCATAAGAAACTGTATCTATAAACATTTGAATCAGTTTTTGAAAGCTGTTGAACTTTAGCATCCAATCTAATAACAATCCAACAAAGCTCATAAAGTATATAAAAAGTTGGATTCAGAGTATTTGAGAGAAAACAATGACAATTAGCCAAATAAAGAAAAACCACACGCTTTGAATTATGTATCGAAAATGATGTAGCACACCTCTACAGGAGTAGCGAATTCAAGCAATGTCGTTATCGTCCCATAAATCATTGAGTAGCTTGAAGATGGGTCATCAAATATACGCTTAACAGCACGGAAAGCACGACGCCTGGTATCTTTGGTCCCGTGATCTCTTGAGAAAAAACGATATTGCAACAAAATTACCAAAGAGTGCAAGGGACCAAGGTTGAGTGGAAAGAAAATGAATTAGATGGACAAGAGTTACTAACTTTATAATGGTGATTAACGTTTTTCCAGCAAAATCTCGCAAGGCCCAATGATTATCTGACTCTGGCCTAGTACACAACACTCTGCCAAGCATGCAGCTCATCAGGGAAGGGAGGAACTCATGAAGCTGCAAAGTTAACTCATACAATAGATTTTTAACAAAAAGGAAGCGTTAAAACCCACAACTCCGTCCAACTTCACAGCTTTGTTAACGGCAACTGCTCTCATCATTCTTACGACATAAATAAGCATAGAAAGGCACCGATGAACAATATTGCAGCGTATCTGAACAGCAAACGTAGCTTAATAGAATTTTTTCGAAATAGAGCAAAAAAA